GACGCTGCTAGAAGTGTTGTTGCTTCAGCTGCACATATAGTACTGGTACCAAAAAGTTTCTTGAGGTTTTACTGCTCGGTAGAGAGTCTGAAAACAGAATCTGGACAAATAAACTTTAGTTTTGAGGAAACTCAAGTGGTCATTGAACAGGAGGGGTGTTGGGAAGGGGAGCTGTGCAATGGTCTCTTCTGCTAATGCCTTCTGGAGGTCAAGCCAAGTATTGGAGTTGTAACGTTGGCGACCTCTCATCTGCTTGCTTTAAAGATCAGGATAGTTTTTATGCTAATGTCAGATACTTAAAAGTGGATGCCTTTCTTTTCTCTGTAAATAATTATGAATGGGATAAGGGTGAGACATGAAACACAAGCATTTAAATCCTGTGTTAGTTCTTACCTCTGACCTCTGAGATCTGGTGCAACTCAGTGGATTTCTTGAGGTACTAAATCTGCTTTTCTTGGCTGATTTCTCTGTGGAATAGGACATTAACAAACAGTTGGCATGAATGGAGGAGAGCAACAGCCTGCCTCTTGTGTGCCCAGTCAATCCTGCCCAGAGCAAGTGGTTTTGAAAGCTTTTTTTTTTTTTTAATGTATTTTATTTCATACTTGTTCATCTCTGTTTGAGGGAGCTTTGAGTTTGAGCAGTTGGTCTGTGTTTTTAATTATTGTAATTTAAGAAACCTTACATTGGAGGCTTTTATTTTTTCTTTAAAAAAAAAAAATCAATAAATTGTAAAACAGTAATTAAAGAGAAAAACTGAGTTAAATTTTTTCCAGTTCAGAATCTCCAGAGAGGTTTCTTAACAACTACATAGCTAATGCAAAATAATGTTTTTAAACCAGACAACTCATAAATAATGCATGTGAACTGGAGAACTTGTTTGATCAATTTATAAAAATCTGAAAACAAAAAGACAAACCATCTTTGCCCAAGGAGACAGAGGTAAAATACTCAGTACACATCTGGGAAGGTAGATCAGGCTCTAAAAGGTATGGACTCTGTAACCTCTTTAGTTGATGGCAACAAGATCAAACTTGATTTTAATTTGATCAGTTGCCTTTTATTATGCAACAGCCATCTGCATTATAACTTATGTATGCAGTAGCTAACATTTCCCAGGCATCCGTGCAAAGGATATGTAATTTAAACTTATTTAATAAAACGTTATCGCTTCATGATTAATTGGATTGGCACATGACACTCATAACTAATAGCTCTCAGTCTGTATTCCACTATGCTTATTAGACTGCTAATGGATAACCAGTTTAATCATATGTCAATTAAAAGGATGAGTTGGTTTCATTTATTGCAATTAAATGGTATCCATAAACCGTGTTTGCAGGAAGTATCTAAATCACATCGTGTATCAGTTGTGTGTGTGGGCTCTGTTACTGACTCCACATAATCCGGGGGTGAATCAGTTCATGTATGAGAGTTTTGAATCCACGTGTCCAGGTTCTGGGCCGTACTGCGGTACATGGCACCGTGCTCAGTCATGGGAGAAGATCTGCCTGTGCAGCAGCATGTAAAGGTCAAGCAGCTTTAAAAATATGAATTTTCTTAACTCCCTTGATGAAGCCTTTGACATTAACAAGGTTTTCATTGCTTTTTTGATTGGAAAACTGGGTTTCTGACAAACCTTCTCCTGTTTGCTCTCTGGGAGGGTACATGGTGATGAAACCCAAACCATCTTCCTTTCCATCTCGGAGCTTTGTGCGGAGCGTCCTGTGGTCGAGAGGAGGAGCAGATGCGGTGGGGAAGAGAGGCTGGGCAGTGGGGCAGGCTTAGAGGATGAGGTACCAAAGTTTCTAACAGTTCTTCTTCAATCAGTGCCACGAGTGGAAGGAGTGCTCCTTTGGCATCTGGTGTGGTGAGACTGCCCTGCCCGCGGGAGGAGCTTTACAGCCCCCAGGGGGATAAAGAATGGGAAATCTGCATGGCAGGAGCTGTCTTGTGTTTGTCCAGTTTCCTTCGCAGTGCTTGTGACAGGAGCATCTGGTCAGGCAGGTGTTGTGCAGCAGCTTTTATCCCAGATAAAAGCGTTATTTGAACTCGAATGTGTTGACGGCAGTAGCTGCGGTCTGGCAGCAGGTTGCTGCCAGCGCTGCCTGTGGGCCTCTCTGCTGTGTAAAACTGTAACGGCCCTAAATAAGAGAACGATGTGTCTGCTGAGCTCGCGGCTCTGTTGTAGCTCCGCTGGTTTCTGGCTTCTCCTTTGAAATAAGGATGAACAGGGCGTTCAGTAATCTGCTCTCAAGCTTTTTCTTCGCCCTCATCTGGCCACCAAAATATGGTGTTCTGAATGTGAGTAAGATCAGAGTCTTCTTCCCCTTGCTGGGGTCTGCTCTTCTTTTGATAAAAGATAAAAAGAATATACTTTTTTTGTTTAAAAAAAGTACATTGCCTGACCTTGCACTACCTACCTAATTACATCTATGCCATTTTTTCCAGTGAATAATTAAAATACTGAGCAGAATTGCAAAAGAAATAAAACCTGGAAGAGTCTCTGCCCTTTGGGGAAGAATTTGGCAGAACAGCATTTTCTGGGGCTGTTGTTTCTTTTAAAGACACAATACTTGAAGCTTTTGTGGACAATTTTCAATTAACAGTAGACCCCTGAATCACTTGCGGGAAGGTGGAAGGACAATTGTGAGTTGTTGATGTGAGTGGGTAGGTGCAGTAATTGCGTGAGCGAGATGAGGTTCCTGGCAGGGGCTGTTTGAAATGCCGTGGAAATCTTTTCTCCTTTCTCCCGCACATTCCCTAAAATTTTAGCATATGGGAAGGTTCTTCTGAGATGGTTTTCAGCGCACATGGCTTTGGTAGGCGGAGAAACAGTTCAAAATGAAAGAAGGTGGGAGGAACTGCTGGGTTACCAATTTTGCAGAATTAGGTATCTATAAAAAGTGCCAATAGCACTCAAATGAGAATCCTGTTTACAGGATACAAAATAAGCTTTTCCTCAACATGAGGAGAATGAATCCTCCCTTAAAACCAGCATTTGAGCGCCTCTTTTTCCTCATCTATTAGTGGTCTCCAAAGTGGGGGGTGCAATATTATTGGTGGGCAGGAAGAAAATATTAGTGCTTCAGTAATACATGTATATAATTCATAAATAAATAAATATACATATATTGGAGGTGCATGCTCAAACATTTTTTTTTTTTAATTTTCCTGGTAGGGCTGCGTGATCAAAAAAGAGCACTGATCTATAACTATCCTGGTCATGGAAATAAAGCATCTCCTCGATTTGGAAATGTGCAAGTGGTTCAGATGTGCAGCCAGGAAACATGCTGCTGGGTTTAGATGTGAGAATGCTTCGCCCTTAATTGAAAGGGTGGTGTTTTTTACGAGTATCACAGTCAATGACTTGTCTTGAGCAGCTAATTAGTGCGATTATTCCACAGCTGCATTAGTTTCACCACAAAGGTTTTCTCTTGTTTTATCAAAAGGATCAGTGTCTCTGTGAATGTTTCAACCTGACAGGTCTTAAATAGCAAGATGGTCCCCTGCCTCCCTCCCTCCCTGCCCCCAGAATGTGTGCTCTGGAAAAGCAGAGTTTGCTCTCTTGGGGGAGCAAGTGTGGGTTCTCCTTTTTTGTTTTTGCTCTGAACTCTTTTCAACATCAGTCCTAAACAAAGCCAGAAAACTGCCAGCAGCCCTGGCTCCAGTTGCCCAAGTACAAGCAGCTCTTGATGCCCGCGGCCTCAAGGCAAGACCTAGAAGGAATGCTGGCTCCTGGACTCCCCTGCAGGCTGTCCTGGACTCCCCTGCAGGCTGTCCTGGACTCCCCTGCAGGCTGTCCTGGACTCCTCTGCAGGTTGTCCTGTCAGCATCCTGCAGGTAGCACCTCAACACCGGAGCCAGAGGTGGGGTTTTCAAGAGCAATCTTCTCCTAGAGCAGAAGGGTTACTGCTGGCTGCCCCAGGCATGGCCCTGCATCTTTATAGCCTAAGGAGCCCTTTCCCTTCCATGGGCTGACAGCAATCAGCCGCAGCAGTCAGAATCAGAACCCAACTATCCTGAATTATATGCACTGTAACTCTTTCTTGTATGGAGTCATGTATTCTTACCCATTTCCAACATCCTTCCCTCAAAGGATGTGCAGTTTGGTATTTACATTCCCTAATTGTTCTGCCTTATGCTATGGAAATGTCTTATAAATGGATTTTAGTTCTGAGGGCTAACAAAATGATGGGTTGCTTTGGAAGGTGTCCCTGCAGTCCGTGGCAAAGTCCCGTGGTTTGTCCAGTGCTGTCTGGTAGGAAGCTCTGCTTGCCAGTGGCTTAGAAACAGCTCTCAGGTGGTGAAGCAATGTAGTGTGCTAGCTCGGGCCAGCCTGAATACGCTTTATAAAGTGTGACTGAAATAAAGCCGTGATCGTTGTTTATTCTGCCTCTTCTTGTATCTCGCTGCGCTCAGAAGATGCTGATAGGCCTGAAGTGGGAGTTGAGGTTTGGTTGGTTTTTTTTGGGGGGGGGTGTGTGTGTCTGGTTTCAAGCTATGAAGAGTGTCGTCACCAGCAAATCCAACCCCAAGGTAGTATTTTGCAGAAAATAACTGAACTTTGTTATGTTATGAGGTAGACTTATTTTACTTATTTATTTTTGAGCTAGATCGTTAGACCTGGAATATTATCTATACCTTTCATTAGACTTGCTACAGCCCGTTATTACTTTTTAAAAAAAGGAATATGGGTGCCTGCTGCTATCTATAAAAGCATTTGTTTTTCTCGTGGATGGTTGCTGTAAAAATTGCAGAGGCAAATAGCTTTTTACAGCTGGATATTGGCGTTTGGAAATGGTTAGCTACAGTCAAGTTAAGGCAGCCTAATGTGGCTGCTAAGTACCTCAAGTAGGTCGCCTCCGAATTCCCCCTCGCGTGATGCGGCGTATCCTCACCCATCCCGCCCTGCGTTCTGGTGTAATTCTGCAAGCTCCGACTGCTGGAGCCATGATCCTGCTTGTGGAAGCTGAGCTGTCTCTCTCTGGTCTTCCCACAGCAATTCCGAGCATCCTGGCGCTTCCAAGCCTCCCTTAAGCTCCTCCAGCATGACCTCACGAATCCTGCTACGCCAGCAGCTCATGCGTGAGCAGATGCAGGAGCAGGAGCGTCGGGAGCAGCAGCAGAAGCAGCAAGCAGCCCAGTTCATGCAGCAGCGAGTACCCGTCAGCCAGACACCTGCCATCAACGTCAGCGTCCCCACCAGCCTGCCCCCCGCCACCCAGGTACCCATGGAGGTCCTCAAGGTACGCCAGTCTCTCTGCCTTTCTGTCTAGGAGCGCTCGCTCATCTAAACATACTTTATTTAATAGGGACATGGTTATAGGGGTTTTTGCAACGAAATTTTGCAAATAAGCTGCGCTCTGGCTTGATTTGCAGCTTGTTTTGGTGACCTGGTAGCGAAGAACGGAAAACCTTTTTTAAAAAGTTTGCATGACTTCTGTTTTCTTTAAACTTTGAGATCTTGGGAGGGAGGTTTTGTTACAAAACCAATGTTTCCGTCGTTTTCCCTTTGAAAACCACTTCTCTGTCTTTCTAGTACTTAATTAGAAGAAGAAATTATTAATAGATATTAATATCAATGTTTTGGTTTTTAAAAGAAAACAATGAAATATTTTTTGTAAAATGGAGTCAAAACTCATTACAAAAGAGCTCCTCGGAAAGCCTTAATCTGAAATACGGGTGGGTTTCCAGCCTCTTGCAACAAGCCTTCGTAATCCTTTTTTGCTTAAATGACTTGTTTGCTGTTAGTAGCCTTGGATTCCTTGTCCTACTGGAAACTGTAGGAGCTTGTTAGTGTCCCTCTGTCAAAGGGGATGTAGCTTGCTAATTACTCGGGTGAAAAACGTGAACAGCTATAAGAAAAGAGATAATTTCATGCACTGGGTAAGTCCAAGCAGAGTAGAGCAACGTGAAACGCATGAATAAAAGAATGCAGAACGTTTTGGAGAAGTTGGCTGACGTAGTTCGTGAAAATAAAATTTTCCTTAGTTTTGAAGAGTTATCTGCTTGCTCTGCATTATTGCTAAATCTTTTTATTACAGTCTGATGTTTAGTAACTGCTTTCGGTCGGTAAGCATATTCTCACCAGATCAGTTAATTGAGCTTGCTTACAATCCGCTTGTCGTTTGCTTGTCGCTGTTATGTATCAGTGATCTATGTTAAAAGATTTAGCTTTAAAATAGACTTGCAGGCTCAGGGTTTTGAGGCAGTTTGTGTGATGGGTTTATCGAGGAGATGTAAGGTGCTTTTAGTTATCGAATCTGCATTGTGGTATTGTGTTGACAGTGCCAAAACTAATACCTAATTGGGACACTAGAGTCATACTCAAGTATGGTCTGAGATCCAGGAGCAGAAAGGCAACAGTTGAATTTTCAATTCTATATATGTACATAACCATTAAAAATTAAACATGATATACTTGTGCATATAGTTAGGAGTCCGAAATTGACTGAGAAGAGCTGTTTTTGTCTAACATTTGTGCGTTACACAAAAGGTTTGTGTATAACTATTTGTTTTGTTTCCAGGCTATGACACCATAGTTGTGGTTCAGATCAGGCAGATATGTAGTTGCTATGAAATAATTTTTTTGACTGTAATGCACTTAGTTAAATAAGTGTCTTACATTTTTCCATCCTTTCATCCTAATAGATTATGACCTGAATTTTGGGGGTGTTTTTAAACCTTTCTGAAAACTTGTAGGAAAGTTTATTTTCTGGTGATATTTTACTGTTAAGGAAGGAGTGTAATGCCTTGACGAAGCATTAGCAGTTGTCTATATTGTTCATTTTACAATCGACTCTTTATATGAGAGAGGGGGGAGGCAGCTCTGTATTTCTCAGGGATGAACTACAGAAGATGCTGCTGCTGAAAGGCGATGCTTGGTTATTACAAATGGGATTACTAGGAACTGGCTTGTCATAGGATTTGTATGCCAATCTGTAACCTGCTAGAGCATTGCTAGGGGGCTTCACGCGAAGGATTCGAAGCTGAATCCTCATCCTTCAGGACTGCGAAAGAAGTATCTGTCCTCTGTTTCTTCCTGATGAAGGAGGGTTTCCTGGAAAGAGGGAGGACACCTCCTCTGCACTCATCTTTGGTCGAAATGGCAGCATGCATGACCCTGTAGAGCAAAAAATTAAGAGAATGTATCCTTAACTGGCTTGTAATTTAAAAGTGGTAACTGTCAACAGCTACCTTCTGTCGACAGAGAATTGTGCACTGAAGGTGGTGGTTGGGGAAACATGAGCTACCTGCTGGAACAATATGATGCTGTCTTCTCATTGCCTGCATTTGCATAACTAACTGTCAAAATTAGCAAAACCAAGTCATCTTCGTCTCTGCCTATGAGAGAAGAGAGGCTGCTTTGCATAGTTTTTCTCCTTGTGTTTTTGGCGGGGGAAAGCAGCTAAAGATTCATCCTTTTATCCTTACTGATAAAGGTGGACCAGTTCTGCACAAAAAAAATCTAGTATAAAATACCAGGCTTGAAGTCATGATCTTTCTGAAAATCTACTACTGCTGCTCCAGGGAGAGTAGGAGTTGGCTGAAAGGTCCGTATAATTTTGTTTGTTTGGTTTTGTTTGTTTTTTAAATAGGTTATTTGGCTCAAAAGATGAGATTAACAATAAATGAGAATCTTCTTGGTGCCGATACGCTGCCAGCCAGCTCTGCCTGCAGTAACACTGTACGAGTGACATCATTTCCCTGCAGCTGCTTTTTACACTTCAGTTGTTTTTTAGCTGTAGACAAATTTTCCATATGAGCTGTACAGAAGTTTTAATTAGATAAATAGGGAACTAAGTTGGTAACTTTATTATCCAGATGGTCTGGATTTAGTGACCTTAAAGAATGGGATAGACAAAAAGGGGATTTTTACACTTTCAGAAATGTTAATCTGCAAGGCAACTTTCTTTAGAAGAAATCTTTTTGGATATTACTTCACAAACAAGTAAGACTAAACGTAGTGGCTGTTTTTGTTGGGTTTGCTTGTTTCTTTTGGAGCTTAGTGTCAAAAAACCCTACTCCAAGCCTGTTGAATCTGTCAATGGTTTGTGTTTTTCATTATGTTCTGTGACTTGCCCTTTCTCTCATATCTCACAATGTGCGAAGGAGAATAATACTTGCGTGTCTGAGAATGGTAGTTTGGAATGACTAGTTTAGAAAGAAGCCAGAGGTGTTAATGAGCTTGGATTTTATATTTGTTTTCAAGATGTTCATTTAGAAACAATACCAAAAGAAAGAGAAATACATATGAATCTATGTCACACTGCATAGGAATCTCCAAATTACATAATGCGATGTGCTCAAGGCCATATGAATACATAGGATTTCATTTTCTTGAGTAATGACTTCTTATTGCATCACTTCTCTGCCAAGTAATGTAGCTTGGCAAGGTAGGAAATGACCTATTGGAATTCAAATTTTGTATTACTTTGTGCAGCTTAATTAAGAGATGGACTAGGAGTAGGCCTAATGCATTGGAAAGGGTATATCTTCGAATCTAATGGCAAAAGGACTTGTTACAGCTTTCGGTTGTCCTTGTGCAGAACTGATGTTAGCTTCACAGATGTACAGGCTGGTTTATCTTTAAGTACCTTCTCATCCATCTCCTGTTGGTAGTTGAGGACCAATGCTACAGAGAGATGTCCCAAGAGTTTCTTTGCTTCTGCTGCAATTCAACTTCTTGCTCTGCCTTGGGAATCGGAGCGTGTAACTTAAAATATTGATTGTTGGAGTAGTTCCAAGCCCTATCAATGTTGGATCAGGATCCATTTCTGAAGTACAAAGTAAGTTTATATTTTTATTTAAAAGAGTTAACTTCTTTACAAAGAGTTCGTCGATGTCTTCAGTGAGTTGTTTTATGCAGTAGCTTCTTCCATACAGGTCTGGTTTACTTTTGTATTCTTAATTGGTTTGTTGTTGATTGCAGTTATTCTCTTGTCTGGTAGGAGTCCTTATCTTTTGGGGCAGAACCACTGTTGCAGATCTCAACTTTAGTATTCCAGACTGATCCCTGGGAACTGGTTGCTGCATTTCTGTAAGCAGGGTTAGCCCAAGACTGGAGGAGGTTGTGCATCAGCTCCCAGCCTGTAGTCACTGAGACCTGATGATAGGTCAGTCCTTTTGTTCCTGAGTCAACCGTTTGCAAAATATTACTGCTATTAATCCCATACCTTGTGGAGTTCAATTTGTTCAAGCTGGTGAAAGCCTAGGCTACTGGAAATGGAGAGAATACACTCTTGGTTTGTAGTGAAGCTGGTCTGTTAATCAGCTCCCCCAGAACTGTCTCGGTCTTCATCTGTTACTGTCTTCCTGCTTGATATCATAGAATTAGCTTTTGTCCTGTAGTCCTAGTGGCTAACAGTTATTTAGCGAGCATCTCCTGTTGATGTGATAAATTGCTGGGTTCTGCTTTTCATGTCTTTCATGCCCCCCCCCTTGCCCACTCCCAGCCTCCTACCAGGCAACTTGCAGGATTCTTGTAGAGCGATCTCCTGCCTGCCAAGCCACTGGCAGCAGCAGCAGGCAGCTCCCTGCCTTTCTGACAAGCAGTGATACCCTAGCTTCATCTATAGGATAGTTTTCAGTCTTCTATGGCAGTCCAGGCAGCTGATTTTAGGATTTTTTTTTTATTATTTTTTTTTTACACCAACTTTAATGGGTTCAGGTCAGCCTCAGAGAACTTAAATTCATATTATACTTGCAATTCCGCTGTAGCAGTATGGGTATGGGGCTCACCACGCTTTACATGCTTTTAAGGTACACAGAAGGAAAAGAGTTTTCCTTCATCTCAAGCATCTAAAAGATCTAGGGGGGGGGGGGGGCAAACCCAGAAAAACCAAGAAATGGGTCTAAAAGCTGAAAGTACCAGCTGTCATGCCTTATTCTCCCAAGAAAGGCTTGCAAGTTGCTCTACTTGTTTTTTGGTTTAGTCTTTGAGAAGTTCTGCTGATAGAAGTAGTCAGACCTGAGACGTTAATTAAGGCTTGCCTGTGAAGAGTGCTCTCTCCTGTTTTGTTGGGTTTTTGTTTTGTTTTGGGTTTTTTTTGATAAGTGTACGTGTCTCGAAGTAGTCTTATTTATAGAATTTGCACTGGTCCAGAAGTTCAGCGAAGAGGGCTGGGGGAGGAGTGGGGACTCACCTGTTTGCTCATTGAGAGACATTACAAAAATTGAATTGTGGCTAGGCGGTGTGGTTTGTACTGTTTTGCCTGATTTCTGGAGAGAGTTGACTTTTCAGAAC